AATTACAGCTAAAGGGATAAATCCACAGTAATATATGAATACTTGTTACATTCCCCAAACATTCACCTTTAATATGCATCTTTTGGATTCATTCTATGTATTACAGTTTTCGAGAAAATCAATGAAATGCGAAAACTCTGCTTTTTCGAGCATTTTTTAAACTTTGAACGCGAATTACAGCCAAACGGATATCTCTATTTTATATTTATTTAAAAAATTATATGTAATATATAATAAAATGAATGTTTAATAAAAATTTCAAAGACAAATCATTAAAAAACTAAGATTATTCTAACATATTAGAATGTCTGTTGGAAATTCCTAGACCGCTGATTATTGTCTCATCTCGCAACGCTCCTTTCGTTCTGTGTGTATAATTTCTGAACCTTCCGAGAAGAAGACGAAAGGTGACTCAAACGAAACTTGTTTTTTGAGACATTACACAAATATTTCCGAAGAGAACGAACGGACAGGAAAAAAAAAACTTTGTAGCCTGAAAAAAAAAGGATACAAAGTTTTCAATAGTCCAAAATAAAATGCGGATGTAAAAGTTGCATTTTAATGAACGTACATTTCCTTCCCGCACTTTCGTTTAAAAATATTATCCACATTTTTTTTCTCGCACTTTTTTTTCCCGAATTACGCAACACACGAGGCGGTTTTAATTAGAGTTCTTTTTTTTTTCATTTAAACCAATTACTATTATTATTTTTAATCTCATGACGATGTGAACTTTTCTCACCGAGAAATTTAATTAAATATTGTGCTTGGAATGATATAAAGTCGTTTTCCTTGAGTTCATTGAGTTTACACTATTATAATTAGTGTTTTATTTATTCAATGTGTGTCGGAATGACTTTAATAGAAACTGCATTTAAAATCTATGGAATTCACAAAACAACAGATTAAAAAAGTAAGTAAGCACAGAGAAAGATTTCTGAAGATATTAAATTCAATTTCAAGGCTAAGAAAGTGTGTTACGAGTCGCGATATACATTTTTTTTTTATGCGGTTATTAACGGCGTTAGTTTGCACATATTGGATAATGGAATGAGCGCAGTTGGGTCACAGACTTTTACTTTCACCTTCTCAGAGCAATGCTTCCTTTTATTATTGTTGATTCTAATAACGTGTATTTGTATCTAAGAGTTGCAGCTTTTTTTTTGTCAATATTTGTTCGTTATTCCTTATCACTTTTCGTATCGCTTTTTTAACACACCAATTTCAAGCATGTAACATTAGTTATAAACACGAATGACTCAAACACTTGTTTTTGTACTTTATTGTTTATTATTGATATTTGTACGTAAATAACTTCTTTTTTCTGGAATCGAAGAAATCCTTGAATATTCAAAATTATAATAATATGATATAACTAGGTTTATTTATTTCAATGAAAAATATTGTTTAGTTTATACTAAATTATTGCTGAAAGTTTACATTATTGATTCATTGATATCATTTCTTTAGTAATGTGATTTATAAAATCTATTAACAACATCATTACTCATCTACCAATAGGGATGGTTTGTCCAAAACTTGCTCATTAATTGAAGAATTATTTAACAAAAACATTGGTTCCCAGCCTCACCTGTTTCTATCATTACAAGCCGCCACTACCTACAAGTAACATAAATCATGTAACTTTTAAAAAAAATAAATAATGCTTGATTTGGTGATTTATAAATGAAGAATATATAAAAAATTAAAGCTTGTTCTTTTGTACATTTACACACTAGAATCTTGTAAATAGAACAACAAATATAAATAGAAATGACGAATGTTTAAACATAAAAACTAATTGTAATGCCCTAATCTTAATGCACATCTTTTATATTATAATAACAATGCTTTATTATTTACAGTAGATTAATTGAACAATTATACTGTAGTTTAATTATGAAACGTAATTTTCTTATATTTTCTTTACACAATAAGGATTTTTATTTTAAATTTAAACAATTTTTTTTACTAAATGATAGTTTCTATCATCTAATTAGTTAAAGTTATTATTAATTCTTGCATATTTCAATATAACATATATAACAATAGTTAATTTATTGTGTTGTTTAAATTATCAAAAAAAAAAACAAAATAAGCTTAAAGTTATTAAAGTGAAATGAATGAAGCAATACTTTAGTTAAATCATTGCATTATTGTTTTGACTATTTAATGAATATATCTTAATATGTAAGATGAACACAATACAATTATTTCAAAATGTATACCAATTTTAACCAATATTCTGATAATTGTTATTTTACGATTACATAAATTGTGTAATACATGTAATGCTAACATATTGAAAAAAAAGATTAAAAAAACAAGTATATAAACAAAAATGTCACTTTCTTTAAGTATTTCGTTTTTTGAATTTTTATTTAGTGGATTATTTGTTGCTAAGGTTGCTTTTTGTTTCCATTTATTAAGAAAATATGAAAAGAGATTATTGGAAAATACATAATAATTTAGATTAGATAATTCAGATTTTGATCTATCATTAAGTATCTAATGAAATATTATTGGTGTAGGAATATATTGTTTTTTGTACAAATTTTTATTGTTTTTGTTAGATATTGACACGATTCAAACGTACCGGGGTCAGGCAATGGGCGACCTGGATCCACACATATTTGCGGTAGCAGAAGAGGCCTACACGCAATTGGAACGGGAACAGAGGGACCAAAGCATTATCGTTTCCGGTGAGAGCGGCGCCGGAAAAACGGTGTCCGCCAAATACGCGATGAGGTACTTTGCGACGGTAGGAGGAAATGCGACGGAAACGCAGGTCGAGAAGAAGGTCTTGGCGAGCAGTCCCATCATGGAGGTATGTAATATAGCAATCAACCAAATGAAAATACTGTACAATAAAATCTCTTAAGGCTATAGGAAACGCAAAGACGACGCGAAATGACAACAGTTCGCGATTCGGCAAGTTCATCGAGCTCCAATTCAACAAACAGTTCAACATAAGCGGAGCATCCATGAGGACGTACCTATTGGAGAAGTCGAGGGTCGTGTTTCAAGCCCCAGGAGAAAGAAATTATCACATTTTCTATCAACTCTGCGCTGCGAAAGATCAGTTGCCCCATTTAAAGCTAGGTACGTCGCACGATCGATTAAAACTCAATTATGTAATTTGCTGCATTTACAGATGACTCGACAAAGTTCCATTATTTGAATCAGGGAAGAAGCCCCACGGTGGACGGTGTGAACGACCTGCAAACCTACGAGGAAACGACAACAGCTCTGGCACTTTTGGGCTTCAACGAGAGCGAACGCAACGACATGTTCAAAATCTTAGCGGCAATTCTTCACTTGGGTAATCTCAAATTTAAGGAGATGATGATTCGACAGGAGAACGAACAGGACCAGGAAGGATGCGGGATTCAAGTAATTACCTACAACAACAACAAAAAAGTAACAGAATATTATCGTTTAATTCAATCGATTTTCTAGCAAGGTGATAAAAGCTTAAGCGTAATCGGAGAGCTGCTTGATATCGACGTGGAAGAGTTGGAGCAATGGTTATGCATTAAGAAGATGGTGTCCATGAGAGAAGTGTTTTTGATTCCAATGTCCTTGCAGCAGGCCATGGTCTCGAGAGACGCTTTAGCCAAACACATTTACGCAATTCTTTTCAATTGGATCGTTCTGATAATCAACAAAGCGCTTGAATCTGAAGTTCCCAAATACAAGTTCATCGGTGTTCTGGATATTTACGGTTTTGAAACGTTCGAAATTAACTCGTTTGAGCAATTCTGCATTAATTACGCCAACGAGAAACTGCAGCAACAATTCAACATGCACGTTTTCAAACTAGAGCAAGAGGAGTACATCAAGGAGGAAATCGAATGGAAGATGATTGATTACCTAGATAATCAACCTTGTATTGATTTAATCGAAACGAAATTAGGAATTTTAGATTTGCTGGATGAAGAATGCAGGGTATTTTATATTATTCGCACATCCTTAATAATCTTTTAATTTTACATTATTTTAGATGCCCAAAGGTACAGACGGCTCTTGGACAGAAAAACTGTACGCGAAATGCATGCAGTATTCGCACTTCACCAAAGCCCGTTTCGGAACTAGCGCATTTGTGATCAACCATTTCGCCGATAAAGTGCAATACGAGAGTAGCGGATTCTTGGAGAAAAACAGAGACACGGTCATTGAGGAGCAAATAAACGTGATCAAGGCCAGCAAAAATGATTTGGTCCGTAGGCTCTTCGCTCCGGAGATGAAGCAAAGCACATCTTTAACAAAGCTGAAAGTGATTTCAGCGAAACCAGCACCTAAAACTAAAAAAACCAACAAAAAAACTGTAGGTTCTCAATTCAGGGATTCTCTGAATATGCTCATGAACACATTGAATGCCACGACACCCCATTACGTGAGATGCATTAAGCCTAACGATACCAAAACCGCTTTCGAGTATAATCCTAAGAGAGCGGTGGAACAGCTGAGAGCTTGCGGTGTCTTGGAGACAATCAGAATATCATCAGCTGGATTTCCGAGCAGATGGACTTATCCCGATTTCTTCAGCAGATACAGGGTTCTCTGCAAGTTCGTTGATATCAGCAGGAACAGCATGCAAATCACATGTCAGAGGATCTTGACGCAGTACATAAAGAACTCAGACATGTATCAGTTCGGAAAGACGAAGATCTTTTTCCGCGCCGGTCAAGTAGCGTATTTGGAGAAGCTAAGAGCCGATAAGCTGAAGAAGTGCTGCATTGTTATGCAGAGTACGGTGAGGGCGTTCATTTGGAGAAAGAAGTATATTAGGATCAAGAAGGCCATCCACAATTTACAACGATACTCTCGAGGATATTTGGCAAGGAGATTGGCCAACGATTTGCGCAGAAATAAGGCCGCAATTATAATTCAAAGATATACTAGAGGATGGGTCAAAAGGACTCAATACAAGAAGAAGCAGCAGCTATTGCTTGGAATACAGAGATTTGCACGCGGATTTTTGGCAAGAAAACGTTACATGAAACTCAAATACAATGCAAAGGTAAGTGATTTTTTTAATAATCCGATTATACCGAACAATTAAATATACATCGTTCTTTATAGGCGCTCATTATACAAAGATTCGTTCGTGGTTGGTTGGCAAGAAAACGAGCTAATAAGAGGAAGAGGCAGATTATTCTTTGCCAAGCAACGATTCGCAGATTTCTTGCGAGAAGGCGTTACAAGAAGTTGAGGATCGAGGCTAGATCCATCGAACACGTGAAGAAGTTGAACGTGGGTTTGGAGAATAAAATTTTCATGCTGCAGCAGAAGATCGAAGACTTGAACAAAACTAAAACAGAGTTGACTGGAGCCCAAAATGATATCAGCGATCTAAAGTAAGTGAAAGATGTTACCAATATTACAAATTACTTAAGGACGTTTTTTTTTTTTTTAGAAATAAATTGATTACTTTCAAAGCAATGGAACTGGAAATAAAGAATATGAAAACTTTGTTGGTTAAAAAGAACGATACCATTGATCATCTCGAAGAGAAAGTGAAGATCGAGCAGAGTGAGAAAATGGATTTGGTTCATGATCAAGAGAAATATCAGAAGGAAATCGAGGATGAGAGAAATCATTGGATGGAGGAGACTAGTAAGCTTCGAAAGGAGTTGGATAACATTAATGAGATTGTGAAGATGAACGAGGAAGGCGCGGAGGAACATCTCAAGGCTCGTTTGGAACAGGAGAAGATTATTCTGTTGAAGCAGCAGGATAACGATACGATGGCTTATCAAAGGTTATTGGAAGAATATCACCAACTGGAATCGCACTGCGATAACTTAGAGAAATTAGTCAGTGAGAATAACAGGCAAAATTATCACCACGTGAGAAACGTGAGCGATGTAAGCAGTATAATTGTTGGTGAGGAGAGTCACAGCGATATTCAAGATGATCATGGTTATGGTTCTGTCCGAAGCACAAGCTCATCGAATCATGCGAAATTGGAAAACATTGATTGGAAAGAGGGTCACACCGATAGCATTCCATCGAGCTCTTCGAGTTCAGAAAATACAAAGATGGATATCAGTCCGAGCAAAACAGACGTGGCTTTGGTGTTGAAGTTGCAGCACAAATTGGCTGAAGTGGAACGCGAAAAATCTCGTCTGCAGAAGAGGTTGGATGACATCGAAACTTCTCCAAGGGCTGAACAGGCGGAGAACAATGCAAGAGATTCGATTAAGATCAACGAATTGGAATTGAGCAATTCGAATTTGAAATCGCAGTTGATGGAGTTGAGAGGAAGCATCGAGGATGGAACCGGCAACAAGCAGCTGTCCGAACAATTGGTTACCATGCAATCCGAATTAGACAGGAAGATGGAGGAAATAATCCAATTGAAGAGTGTTTTGGCGTCGCAAACAGATAGTATGAAGAGTTTGGTCAGCTCGAAGACAAGAACGGGAACCTACATCAATGAAGACGGAGAATTGGCGTTGGCGTACGAAACTCAGAAGGCTATAAATAAGCAATTAGAGTTGGAATTGCAGGACGAGAAGGTCAAATACAAAGCTCATGAAAAAGAGTACAAGCTGGAGATCGATAAGCTGAGAGAGGATAACGAAAGGCAGCAACGCATCCTTTCTGCCAATCTGAAGACGACACCTCAATCCCAGACGGAGGCATTCATGTCGCACGAAATCACGAGACTCACTACCGAGAATCTGAATCTTACCGATGCCAACGATAATCTGGGTGAGAGCGTTCGCAAATTGAAGAAGCACGTGAAACTGCTAACAAAGAAACTCAAAGACAACGGAATCGATATCGATGAATCTATCGTGGAGACTGGTCAGATGCAGAAACATGCCAGGTCAATGCCGTGCATCAAGAAGAAAGACAGGGAGTATTTGGGAATGTTTGCTTACAAGGAAGGAGAAGAGGCGATAATTGCTAAATCGTTGGTGATTGATCTGAAACCGAGAACCGCGGTGACCCTACTTCCTGGTCTACCGGCCTACATTATGTTCATGTGCATAAGACACACCGATCACATCAACGACGACGATAAAGTTCGAGCTCTTCTTTCCGCATTCACCAATTCGGTTAAGAAAGTTCTCAAGAAACGAAACGATGACTTTGAGACAATCACGCTTTGGCTCTCGAATACTTTAAGGTATATATATATAAAAAAAAAACGTTATAACAAACAAATGTACTTATTATTTGTTTATAGATTGTTGCACAACATGAAGCAATACAGCGGAGACAAAGCATTCCAAACAAAGAACACGCAAAAGCAAAACGACCAGAGATTGAGGAACTTTGATTTATCAGAGTACAGACAACTCCTGTCGGATATAGCTGTTTGGATTTATTTAGGTAATTCATCAATAAAAATGATTAGATTTAGTATTTTTAATACGTTATTTTTTAGCTTTGATCCAACATCTGCAAGAGAAGATACAACCGTTGGTGGTGCCAGCAATACTCGAACACGAGGAAATCCAAGGTTTGAGCGGAGGAAAACCCGGCTTCAGGAAGAGGACGAGCAGCATCGCAAAAGAACTCGAAAGTCCCAAGAGTACAACGAAACCCACCACAGCTTTACTACAAGAATTAACTAGCCAACATAAAGTAAACACTATCATATAGAATTGAAACAACATTTTTTTTTTATTGTCAAAATACTTTATAGATTTTGAGCTTCTACGGTGTAGATCCCGAAGTTATCTCGCAGGTGTTCAGACAACTTTTCTACTTCCTTTGTGCTTCGAGCTTAAATAATCTGCTGTTGAGGAAAGAGCTGTGCCACTGGTCGAAAGGTTTCCAAATTAGACACAATCTGTCGCATTTGGAGATGTGGACCAGAGAGAAGCAATTGACGGTTAGTTCGATGCACTTTTCTATTTATATCTTAATATTCTATATTTGATGAAGGAAATTCCGGTGCAAGAAGCGCTTCAACCGATAATTCAAGCCGCTCATCTCCTGCAAGCGCGTAAGAAGGATGAAGACGTAGACAGTGTTTGCGAAATGTGCAGTGCGCTGACGCCTCTGCAAATCTGCAAAATTTTAAATCTTTATACACCGGTCGATGAATTCGAGCAGCGCGTCCCGGTCACCTTCATCAGAAAGGTTCAAGCAAAGTTAAACGAGAGGGAAGGAAGCCACGAACCACAGGTAAACTACAAAGCTAACGTTTTCTAAATTTTATTTATTTATTTATTTATCATTTTCAATTTCAGGCTCTTTTAATGGACATCAAATACACACATCCAGTGCGATTCCCTTTCAATCCGTCGATCATCTGCTTAGAGAGCATTGACATTCCCGATGTCCTCAAGCTCAATATGCTGGAAAAGATTTAAGAATATTCCCAAGCTTTAACTGTTAATACCCGTTTCTTGTAGAAGATATTTAGCAACGTATATAATTACCAGTCTAGAAACAATCTGTACATATTAGGAAAACCAAACAAATTAACGCATATTATTGCATAGATAAATGAAAATAATTTAATTTTCCTTAGGCGCGAAATCTATGCGACTAGATAATTTGTAAATATTATAATATTTATAAATATAATTATTAAAATATTGAGAGAAAGAAGCATTAATAATCCGAGAAAAATTAAGAAAACAAATAAAATAGAGGCAAGATTATTTGCGAAGCAAATTGAATTAACGAAATTAAATTTGAACAGCAAATTTCGTTTTTCAAGTGCCATAAAAAAAGAATATATATATATATTTGTACATAGGTAATTTACTTTACGGCGATTTTTGATTTAAACTCCTCCTCTTATCGCAATAAGTTTATGTTACATATCATTTTGGTTCCTTCCGTTTCTTATACATAATTAGTATTATTTTTGTGTTGTTTACTTCGTTTGATTGAGTAAATGGTCTTACTGTGGCTTACAGATAGATCCAAAATGGATAGGATTTGTGTTTGGATCCAGGTAGAAATAAACCGTGCTTTCGCTCTGAAAGCTATTTACAAATGATATTTGTTCTTCGTGAGTGAGAGAGAGACTTGAGAGTATATTTATACATGTTTGTTACCAAGAGAAGAAGTTTTATATTTGTTGAGTATTTAAATAGATTTATCTATAATATTATATATATATACACATTGTTAACTCTAAGATTTTAAAATTTTATGTTAATTATGAATAAATAAAGGAGAATTCATAGATTGAATATGAAATTTCATTTCGAACAAATAAATGTAAAGCTAGCTACGCGCTACGTGCTTTCTTACGGAAGTTTTTCGAATTAACTCGTATCGTATACATGTTAATATAATGTGCAATTTTGTATTACAAAAAAATATCCGAAGTTGGTGAGTTTGAAACTGACGAAAAGACGTATAAAAATAAACTTTCGTTTCGTTTATATATTAAAGATAAACAGGAGCAACATATGAAAAAACGATGCCATGACCAAACAGAAGTCACCAGCACAAGACGTGACAATACAATACAAAGCAAATAATAATAATAAGCTTTAATTCTGGCTAACGATAATGAAAATAAACAATATTGCAGATTGATCCAATGACGAAAATACACTGATAAAATATAAACAAATAATAAAGAAAGTACATCACATTGCATCAGAAACGAGTAGGGAGATCGTGCGGTTGGAATTGTTTCAGTCCACGTAGATTGTCTTCTGTGTTGCTCAGCTCTAAAGCAATTAGATTCGGAATAGGTTTGGAGTTCTTGAGGGTAGCGTGACTGGACCACTCTTATATCTTATCTTCACAGCAGACCTGCAAACATCACAGCAGGCCACTGTATTCACTGTCGTGTCCCAGGGTTAAGAAATCCTTGGACACCGTGGATTATCTCGAAGTTATGTCGTTGCGGAGTCTTGGAGGGGTTTACGAATATTAAATGCAATATTCTTAATTTAGTTTTATTGTATACATCGGAGTTTTATTGAGAAGTCAACTAAACAATAGTTGATCTCAGGTATTATTAACTAAGAGTTACATTCTCCTCTTAAGTTAGTGTTTATGAAGTAAGAGCTCTTCCTTGGAAGACCAACTTCTCAGTTCGGCCCCTTAGCTAAGACTTACCCTCCGTCTGCCCTCAGACTACCCTCCGACTTTTAGACTAACTTTGTATTACATAAACATCCTATTTTATAGTAGGGAATTAACAAAGTGGGAGTACAATATTTGGAAAGGAAAGATAGTACACCTAGCTTTCCCTAATTCGTGAGTTATTAGGCAGATGTGCATATTAAAGGTCATTATAGATTGGACCTTCAAGTTTGTTCACAACATGTTGATTAAGAATAGTCGTTACACAATGATTAGTTATGGGATTTTCCTAAGTGGTATTTGTTCTAAGTCTTAATGACTTACATAAATAAACATGTATAAAATAATAAGGGCTAACATAATATAAACAATAACGGTTATACATAACACCACGTTCGCGGATGACACCGCAGTCTTAGTATCCCACAGAAATGCAGCGATGGCATCTACGATACTTCAGGACACTTCAGGTCAGCCTGAATAACATCAACAACTGGTTGAAGAGGTGGCGAATTCTGAAAAGAAAACAAGCAATGTAAATTTTAAATAAACATTATTTATTAAATTAATTTACATTTACATATTTATAAAAAAAAGTTACATGAAAATAGTAAGTATGTAATAGACAAACAAAATAAAATTCTTAAATTGGAACAAACAAAAATTAATTGAAAACTTTCCCCCTTCAGGTTTTGGAAAAATGATGTTGCTTCATGTTTGATATAATTACTTCAAAATTGGGACTTTTTGATGTAAGAGCAATTTGAATACAGTCTTCGGCGTTTGACAACCAAAAAGACGTATTGGATCGAAGTTCAAGAATTGCCTCTCCAAACCTGGTTCTTCTGGTACTAATTTCACATATAAAAGGATCTACAACCCAATTTACATCAAGATCTGGAAAGTAGTCAGAGAACCGCTCTCTGAGTTTGGTAAAATGAAATTAGAAAAATTTCACTATTTCCCAAAAAAAAATCATTTTTACCCCATTTTGGGTAATTTACCCCGGTTCCCCGACCGCTGATCTGTGTGCAACTCTAGCAAAAACATCATCCAGAGATTTCAATCAAAAACTTTGAGGCAATTGACCACCACCAATGACTATCCATCAGTCCACTGGTATTGGTAAAGAAGAGATTGCAAAAGCCAGCACCAGATATAATCATCGACTGGAGGATGATTTTTTATTAAATAAATTATATATAATATATTTAAGTTTTATCATTTATTTATTGTAATTTTAATAAATATTTTTTTCGATGTCATGCTTCTATGCTGTTCTTTTTAGTCCTGTTCTTTTATATAACGTTCTGTTTTAACCTGTCCTGATATGTAACGTTCTGTTTGGTCGGATCACCGAATATTTTCTATTATTTGTGTTTAATATTTGTGTCAATCTTTTAGTAGTAAGAATAATAATTTTATATATTAAAAAAATATACTAATACAATTGATAATTAATCATAATATTTTCGTTCAATTATATTTACTTAATTAAAATGACTGAAAAAAATGATGATTACTTTGTTGTCATGTTGGTATTGTATTAACAGAAATGAATAATGGCTAAACAACATAACCTATAAATATCAGTTTTGTCCGCACATGGGGGTTATTTTGTGTTCTAAATATAAATAAGCGTGTTTGCCAGTTAACTTGGCCGTTACAGCACAAAGTGCATCTTTATTTACATTTCCTATACGTGCGCCGTTGCGTCTATACGAGAGTTTAATTGAACATTTCAATTTCGAAAAAAATGGCTGGAAAGAAAGGTAACAAGAACAAGGGCAAAAACGTTGCACCCAAAGCCATCACCAAAGCCAAGTCCAAGGTAAATAAACCAGCTGTAGTGAGTAAGAATGAGAAAAAGGCTATGTTAGTGAAAGAAGCAGTTAAAGTTGCTGCTGCAAAACCTGTGGCTGCATCTCCCAAAACCAAAAAGGGTAAAGCTAAGCCTGATGCTAAGGTGGAGATTGTTGAACAAGAGACACCACAAGTTGCCTTAGCAGAAGTAGAATCTAAAAATAAGGGTAAAAAGGGTAAGAAAGCTGTGAATCAACAAGTAAACAACAATAAGGCAGCTTCACCCAAAGCAAAGGGAAAGACAAATGTAGCTGCAGTTGTACCAGCTAACAATAACAAGGTGCCAAATAAGAAAAAAAATAGGAAAGGTAAAAATAAACCCATACCTGCTGAAGAAGCTGTTACTGAAGAAGAAGAAGAAGAAGTGTCAACTGTGCAATCAAAGGGCAAGAAAGGTAAAAAGAAAGGTGCCAATGTTGAAACTGCCCCTGCTACAAATAGTGAAGTTACCACAATGAAAGTACAAAACAAGAAGAAAGGTAGAACTGCAACTGAAGAGTCAATTGAAGAACCAGAAGATCAAGAAGCTGCTTCACCCATAGGTAAAAGGGCAAGCAAAAGGAGTATTGTAAAGAATGGCACTGAAGAGGCTAAAAAACAGAAAATTGATGACACTGAAGCCAATGGTAAAAAGCAAGATGCTAAAAAGCGAAGGTTCACGTTATTCGTTGGCAATTTGGCTTTCGCAACTACTCCGGAAGATATTGAGAAGCATTTCAGCAAAGCCGGAAATATTAGCAACGTGCGTTTGATGTACGATAAAAGCGTTCCGAAGAAATCGAAAGGGTTTGGGTACATTGAACTGACGGATAAAGACACATACGAGGTAGAGTATTTCGCGTTTGCCTATCATCGCTTTCACATAAACTCATTTTTGTTTCTTTCCACAGAAATGCGCATCGATGCATCATACAATGCTAGGCAACCGACGCATCAACGTCGAGTACACGGGTGACCCGAACGAGAGCAAAACAGTCCGAAACGTGAAGAACGCAAAGTTGTCCGCATTGAGGAAAAAGGGAATGCTGTTGGGCAGCAAGAAGGATTCTCAGAAGCGGTCGACCAGGAGGAAAAACAACAAGAATAAATAATTTAATAATTGACGGACATAGTACAAATTTGATTTAACATTTTAAAATGTTGTTGTTATTATTTTTAAATATTATTTGACGAACGTACGTCGGCAATTGTATATGTATGATTTAGTAAATCGATACGCGAATAAGAAAGCCATGCAATCTTAACGTAATTTTGTTTTTGTAAGTATAGGATTTATTTGTTCATTGTCAATTCACATATGACAATGATTTACTTTGTATCCAATTTGGTTAGTTTCTTTTTTATTTCGATTGAAACGTGGTGAGAAAACTGGGCAGTTTTCGGCAATGTTCATTCTGATGTATAAAAAAAAATTCAAATAAATTGAGGTGTTTATAATATACACATGTTTTTACATCTATTCTATACCTTTATATACAGATTTGCAGAGAAAAACGCTAAACTTGCTATAGAACATAAAAGCGAAAAAAAAAACCAGAATCAGCATTCACCTAATCTAAATAGACTTTCAAAACAGAACAGTGATAAAACATAGCAGCATATAAAAACTTACATTTATTTTGTCATCAATGCGCATGAGGAATTCTCTGAATTCAAATTTTTAACACAACGGTTAATGTAGAGGTTAAGTTCAACCTATCTTCTTTCTTATTTTGAAAAAAATGATACAATTGAAGCTAATAGCCGCCGCTTGTGAAGACTTGGGAATAGGATTGAACAACAATTTACCATGGAGATTAAAGCAAGTATTAAAGCTAATATTTTAACAAACAAAAAAACATTCCAATAGATGACCTTCATGCAACTAATTTGCATCAAAATATATTCTATAAATTTAAAATAATCGTTTGTTGCTTTAGAACAGAAATGGCTTATTTTACAAGGATGACTGAGACCACCAAAAACGCAAACAAGAAGAATGTTGTGATTATGGGTAGAAGAACTTGGGACAGTATTCCACCAAAGTTTAAACCTTTATCAAACAGGATCAACTTTGTGCTATCAAGAAGCCCACTTGCTATTAGCGAATTCAAAGATTCATATTCATTTCTGAGTTTGGAGAGTGCTGTAGATGCCTTGAAGAGTTCTCAATTTGCTGGTAAATTTGATAGTGTTTGGGTCATTGGTGGCAGCCAAATATACAAAGTATATATTTGAATATGCTGCAAATAGGACATGATTTTATAGTTATTATATTTCCAGCTTGCAATGGAGAATAAGTATTTTTATAGAATGTACCTAACCAGGATTATGAAGTCATTTGAGTGTGATACATTCTTGCCAGCATTACCAGAAAATCTTAGCGAAGTGCAGTAAGTGCATTTATATTTCATTTTATAAATTTTGTTTTTATTTTACTTATAACATTATTTTATGTTGGTAAAATGTGGAATTGTTTTTATTAAGTTGATTAATTTGTACCAATTGCTTACTTTTTGTTGTCGTTATGTTTTTGCAGGGATCCTGAGGTGCCTGTAGAGGTTCAATCAGAAAATGGTATAGAATTCGTTTACAAGATCTACGAAAATCCAAATAGCGTTGCTCAAGTATGAAAGCGGTAAATAAATAACGTTTACATAATATTTTTATTTTATCTAATTCACAATATCCTCTCGTTCTCGTTCATTTTGTATTCACTAACCCATATGATATGAAATTTTACAAAAAATGGACATTCAAAAATTTGCGTATTGCTCATAAAATCTGTCTGAGTGTTTTTGTGTGTTTTGATTAATAATTTGACATTTTCGAGGCATTGAAATGATATGCATGCATCTAAGAATTAATTACGACGTAAGTCTGAACGAAATAAAGGTTTCAGTTAATAAAGCGTCTTCACAAACAATATCACAGTTCATCTAAAAATAAAACAATCGGAATCATCGTACTCTTCGAAATCCTTAAAGCAGGACCTTGCTGTTGTCCTGGATACGCGTGGACAATACAGCTGTGGAAAATGAGATTGCCATGGTTACGGCAGCCGGGATTAAGAGAATCGAGTGTACGAAGAGGTTGTAGATCGGGATCGAAGCAAGCGAAGCTAAATGGAAAAGACTTCGCATTATTCCGTGTGCGGTGCATCTGCAAGAATCAATGTTAAAATGATGTTTATAAATTATCTTAAAATTACCTTAGATGGCAAGGGTAGGCTTCAATTACGACGATATTGGTGGCGTTTATTGCGCAAATTAGGAGAACCTTTATTATTACCTCGACTATAAGAACAGAGGTGAGGTTGTACAAGAAGAAAATCCCGATGGTCGTGAGGCTCGTGAGCGTTAAGAGAATCGCTATTATTGTAGGTCTTTGTCCAATTTCCAGGATGGTACCGATTATGAGAAGAGCTGGAACCATTGGTCCTGCCCATGCCACAGTCTCCTTGCACAAATCCTCGAAATAAATATTGTAATCGAAATCCACGGCGCAGTCATCTTTGAGCGATAAAATTGTGTTATTAATCATGTTGCAATTAATGAAATGACGATCCGAAAGGTCGGTGTCGACAAATCTAAAAATAAATTAATACTTAATCTGGGATTTGAAGGCGAAGGTAATCAATTACCTAGAGTTCTTGATTGTCGTGTTTACAAAGTAGGTAATTGAAGATTTCACGTTTGTAAATTCCGCTTCTTCGAAGATGCAATCGAGGAACTCGACGTGTTGGAATTCTAGATGCTTGAAGCTGACGTTCTTGAAAAACGTTCCAATGTACTGGACGTTCTCTATGGTATGATTGAAATTGGTTCCGGTGTAATTGACGTTGATAACAGTTCTTCTCATCGAATTGTACTCGACGTTGTTGATATCCTTAATCATAGCTGCAGAATACGAGGAGACTCCCATGTAAATGAAACCAAGGAGAAGATGGAGAGTGGCCAAAAGACTTGTGGTCTTCAGATGGACCGGAGAGCATATTCTTTGAAACGCTTCGCATACCTAAGAAATAAATTTAAGTTGAGGAGTAATTTTCAAGTGTATTCAAGTAATACCGTATCGAATCCATGTCTGAGAACGTTTCTTGAAGGACTAGCCGGTCGATCTCGGTAAGCTGCTCGTCCTGGTAACTCCAATTCGGTTAATCCGTATTGCGTTCTCGATTTGTTTAATCTATAAAATGTTATTTTTTTTGTACGTTTTTTGATGCTTTGCAATTATTTATGTTTTACCTGTGCAATCTTTGATATACTTCTAAAGCTTCCACCTCTCTGGATGCTTCTAGTAAGTACCTTGGTGATTCGGAAGTCCAGATTAGTCCGATGATGCAGGCTATGGCCGGTAAAATGTTGAGGATTAGGAATCTGTGCCAGGAACTCCAATGTTCTCTATTATCTAGGACTACTTCAGCTCCGTCGCTAGGTAAGGTCAGATGGGCGATGGAGGATGTAAGCAGAGCGCCCATCGGCCAAAAGGAGTGTAATAATCCGGTGTATCTTGTGCGCGTTGATCTTGGACATGTCTCAGCTAAGTAACTGAAAGTCAATGGCATGGCTCCAGCAACGCCGATTCCTGAACAGAATCTTGCCGTCATGAAGGTACCGTAAGTTGGCATGACCGTTGCCACAGCGGAAAAGAGAGCCGCAACGGAAAGGGCGCTCACCAAAGCTCTTCGTCTACCCATTCGATCGCCCAAGATACCCCAACCGACAGAGCCAATTGCAAGTGCTAGGAGTGTTATAGAGACCAACCATCCTTTGCGGTGATCATCTATGCATAGTTGTAACTCCGACGCCGGTAGTATGTATCCTAATATAGCGAATTCCGAGCATTCAGCTGCAACGGCTAAACCTAGGATGATCGTCAACAACAGCTGTGCCTTTCCGACGTGAGCCTGTGCCAAAGCATCCTCATGGAACCCGACTAGAGCCTCCCCAGCAACGCTTCCTCCACTTCCGCTTCCGCTCGTCAACACTGCCACAAATCACAACTTTAACAATATCGCAAAAAAATAATTTAAAAATAAAAACTTACTTCTCGGCTCCGTCTGTCCATTTTGCGCGGCTTCCAGCGGTGGTACCAAACATGCGGATTCCTCACACATTTTTCGTTAAAATCATCTAAAATAAAATAGCATAATAATATAAGTATGAGGATTGCACAGAAATAAATGATTAACTTTACACTTTCAACCTTCTTTTGCAGGGTATAGATTTGAATCAATGTTATGATTCATCGAGAGAAATAAAATGACAAAGAAAAAAGGATTCGAAGGAAGGAGAATGGTGACCCATTTAAATCGCGATATTGAAAGTTAAAGTGTATATTATTCTGTGAAGGCTCGATGCAATGGATTTTCGAGTTTATTGCTTGCTTGTTGCAAGAGAACTCACCTGGTTTTGTTGTGCACTTTAAATGGAGCGGATTTATTTCGTAAGCGGTGTCATTTGGTGCTTCGAAGGGTCGTGGGTCATCGATTTTAAGACAAAGAGGAGCGCAACGAACAGGAAGACTGGGGCAGCACCAAAATCGATACATTTGCGTACGCCACTGTTTTTTTTTTGCCTAGCAATCACAGCACTACAATATATAACATTAAATGCACCGGTTTTCGCAGCAACAACAACGAAATTATGCGTTTTATTCTTTACTAACATGTTATACTATTTTTTTTCTTCAAATTGTGTAACTAAATAATTTGCAAAGGAATTTCGATTTTTAAAGAAATTATTAAAATAAGTAATTATTCATTGAATACAGGAGAAGTAAAAGGAATGCTCTGCTGTTGTAATGGAGTGATTAAAGTAATTTTATGAAGGATCTTTTAAATACATATGAAATTCATTTATGATTTATAAATAATTTTCTATTTATTAGACACAGATCTAGATAATTTATAAAGGGATCTTCTTTGTAATCTATGTGCAAATTGGAAAAATAATATTTTAAATTTATATTAAATATATATTTAGGGTAAAAAAAAAAACAAACAAAAATATACAATTTATAATTACGGGTTTCCGTCGTCCATCTAGGGACGAAATCGAATTAAAGGTTTTTTTTATAGGGCAAGAAAAATATATATAGGTAGAGATGGGTTCGACAATTTTGTCTTTCTATACACATACACATCGAAGAGTTTATACACATGAGGGTATCTTTTTCTAAACATTGACTGGTTTGCTAAGTGCATCGATTTTATCCGTCTTCTCGGATCCACTGTGCCAACCGGAATCTACCGTTGCATCGCTGTGCTGACTGTTCTGGGCCTTCTCATCTTCGCCCTTCGATTCCGGAGCGTACATCATTCCAGTCGGATTTGTTGCCATATTCTGGATGATCGTCGATATGTTTCGTCTCGTCGGTGTTTGCGGCATCGGTGCTTGCGTATTGAACGAGTTGTAATTGTAATTCAAGTTGGAAATCGTCGTGGTCAGGTTGTTCCTGTAGCTCGGGCTCGGAGTGGCGTTCTCTTGGATCACCTCGTATTGAGCATCAGGTGCTAAGAACTCGTTGGGAATGAAACAATCCGCCGTTGGAGTTATGCAATCATCGGTGGATTCGGTGATTGGTGTCTGCACACTGCTCGAAAGGCTATTCTGAGAAATGTCTTTGGGCATTTTTGGTTCTTCGGGAAGCGGGAACGGAAGACGGCTTCGAATCGACATCTGCCTGTTTCCCAATTTCTGCGTTAAATAATCGTCATTCTCTTGAGCTTCCGGTTTCAAGAGACGCGGCTTCTGCGAATCCACAGCTTCGTCGTACAACGACGAATCTTGTCCATCGTTTCGCACAGAAATGTTGCAGCAGCTGCTGACATCGGCGAAGTACACTTCGGACTCTGTGGGCTCTAATTTTTGAGGGCTGTTCTCCTGTTTTTGAAACGCTGCGTTTTCAACGCCCTGAAGTCGAGGCAGGAATCTGCATTCCTCGTTCTTGTGATCCGGTAAATTCGGTTCATGGTATTTGTGTTCTTCGTCCATTTTCACAGTTTGCATCTTCTTCATCTTGCGGACTGGTAGAGTGTGAGTCACGACACGCTCGCAGCTGGATGTGTCCGTGTTCTCGCTGTTCTCAACCTGCTGTACTTCAGCTTCCACGGTATTCTCGTAATTGTCTTTGTGTCTGGATCGTCTTTGGAAGTCGCCTCTCTGGTTCTCTTCGTTCATCTGACAATGGTTGTCGTGTGGATGCATGTGATGATGATGGTAGCGATTAGGGAGTTGACGTCTTGCTGGAGAATTCGGATTAGAGTAAGGTGGAGGAGGACCCCAAACATAAACACCTCCGACCGGTCTGTTATCCAATACACTGTAAGAACCAGTCGAAGAAACTGGAACGTTCGGTTCACCTCCCCTATTACTGAATCCATACTGACTGTCCGCACTGCTGATACCTTGATAACTTAATGAATCTCTTGAAAGGAAGATCGGATTAATTTTGTGTCATCTTTAATGGATAAGTGTTATGTTACCTTTGGTTTTCTGGTTGCGCAGTCCTTGTCCACGGCAGTCGTCTCCAATTCCATCCTGTAGCAATCCTATTGTTCTCCGTCGGAGGCATCTCTTCGCCTGGATTCGGAGAGTAAAAATTACCGACCCTTCCCGGAGTCCAGAATCTTTCTGCTGCGGCGTGATGTGCATCCCATGGATAAATTTGCGGTGCAGGATAACGACACTCCTCGCAGCAGCTGCAGTACGTTGCAGGAGGTAAAGGTGGTCCTCTCATCGAGCTCGGGGCGCTGACAGGAGGCCCGCTCTGCTGCTGATAAAACGACCTGCATCTCAACTCCAGTTGTTCCCAATACATCTTCTTTCTCTCATGACTTAAAAAAAAAAGATAATCAACCGTCATTAACTTACTTTCTACATTTTCTACTATGTAAAACCTCACCTGAGCAATTGGTAAACGAGCATGCACGAGAAGATGCAAACGAGAATTCCGGACACGGAAAGCCCGAACATCGCTCTCAGACAGGTGTACAAAGCGCCGTGAATTACTTCGCAATCCGGGGTGGAATCGAAGACGAACCTCATACCTTCATCAGTTTGAGAATGGGCCTCCAACAGCACCGAATAACATGTGCAGGTTCTAGTTTTTTGCGTGTACACGCATTCCCTCAACGTCTGCAATCGGTTCATGTGAATTACCGTTGTTGTTATTGTTACCAAAACGCAGGTCAAGGCGCAAACCAAACAACAGAGACCACAAACTTTCAACTAAAAAAACAAAAAACAACAAAATACTTATAACAATTATTGATTATTTTAAACAATTACCAAATAGCTGTATCTGTTCTTCCGCCTCGCTAAACTTATCACGCATAATCCAGTGAGAATGAGCTGCAAAATAACCCAAAACATTATATTAACTCAATTTCACTTAATAAATTTACTTTACCATAGCTGCTGGTACGAAAGTGGGTATAGTTTCGAAATAGCCCAAGGTCGAAGTGTACGATCTGAGGAGGAAGTAGACTGCGAGGAAGAGTCCACCGAGTATCGTGGACAATCCTCCACAAGCGCAGCACCAGAAAACATATTTTCTTATACGGCTTCCTCCGACGCTAGCTGAAAAACAACAATTAATTAACGAATAATCGAATAATCTTAGTTTACACTTTTCAAGTAAATAATGTACCATTTAGATTGTACGACACGGCCGGCTGGATTGGATGCGGTACGTGGTACTGCACCACCTGCATCACCGGATATCCGTGCATTCTGTTTGTTTTGGTTTTTGTTTTTATTATTGTGCAGCTCACATTTTCTTACTTTTACAATTGTGACACGAAGGGCACCGATTCGATGTGCACGCACATACCGAGAAAATCATTATTACGAGGCCCTGCGTATTCGGTGACCGATTATGCGCAAAAAAATGTATAATAGTATATTCCTCTGTCTTGGTTTTTGGAGGAATCGTGGACGACGTGAGATGATCAAAGTGTAGTTCTTCACGTGATGGTTTTAGAGCACTAAATGCATGAATTCGCAATCGGGGAGGGTGAATCTTAATTGCATCTTCAGACCTGTTGCCAGATCAATATTCAACCCCAAAATCACATTCACCCCTAATTTGATACGGCTGCAGATTTGTAGAGGGCGCACCTTGCTCACTCGCGTTACAGATTTTCTGTAATTGAATACTGTAATACATTCATGCATCGTGTACAACATTATGAAAGACAAACAAATAAATTATAATAAGTAAAAGGAGAAAAATACGTTGCAATCATTTATGTTTATAAATATTTCTATAATTGCATAATTCTTACATATTAACTTTAGATATGATAAATAATAATGATAGCAGAATATAGTTATTAAATCTATATTGTAATATAGATAATGTTATTAATTATGTAACATGTAGGAAGTTTTATAATCGAATTATCTTTAAATCGCATTTGCATTTGCAGAATTCCGAATTTCTTAGCAATTTAACCTAATTCCATTATATTTCTTATTATACAATAACGTAATATCACGGTAAATTGCTAATTTATTATTGTTTTATTTTCATTACGGCTCTTGATCATCAAATGATGATTCCCACCTTGTATTTTTTTTTCATTTCTGCGTTTTCCAACGAACATATTTGTAAACATTTATAAGCAATAATTTATTGTATTGTGAATTAGTGAATGGTAATCGTGATTTTCATAAGAAAGTATGTCCAATTGGTTTTATTGTGATCAATTACAAATATTTTGCTAAAGATAATTAATGTTTTAATGCGAGATTAATGAGAATTGTTCAAGGAAAATATTTATGAAAGTTTCAAACGCAAAACATAGAAATTTCTCTTATTTATTAGTAGAACTTTAAATTCATTGCAGTTATAATACCACATCTTTTCTTATAATATAGAATGGATATTGAATTGTAATAACATAAGGATATTGTTAAATGTTTAAAAATATTCTATAATTTGTTATTGTTTTTTTTTTAATAATGTTTAGTTTGTAATGAATGTTAAATGGTTATAACATAAAAGTAATTGTTAAATGCGTCAGTTGTTGAAAAATAGTTGTTTTTATACGAAACGGTTTATGGAAAGAATTTCGTGAGACAATATTACGTTTATGGAATTCTGACAATCAATAATTTGCAAGAACAGTTTAATGTTAAATTAATGTTTAATTATTGTTAATTGCATCGGTTGATGGAAAATATTTGTGTATAAAAAAAAATCGGTTTATTGCTTTGAAAGCGAATAATTATGTAAGAATGTCATGAATGCGGGTGTACTTACTTTCGCTGGTATTGCATCTGTTTAGGCTTCCATCGTACCTAGGTCTTGGCGGCGGTCGAGGCGGAAGAGCGGGAGGAAGCGGCGACACCTCGATCCGATCGTCCGCCTCGATCTTCCTCGTCTCCTGAATCTCCGGTTGATTTTCGTTCTCCTGGTGACAGTTGCACTGAGGCGACGGTTTCTGGCCGGTTTTTGGTGATGCGTGCACGTGGACGTGGACCTGACTGACCGCAGGATGATGATGATGATTGGTGGCGGTCTGCGCGACGTGAATGATGTGATGATGGTTCGAAGACGGTGGATGACAATGATGCTGGGTGATGGGATGATCCGTTTGCTGCTTCGGACTCTCCGATCTCTCCGTGCACGTGCAAGATAACAAAGTGTGGTCGATGGAGTCGGTCTGGGATCCGGGAAGATAATCGGATTTCTGCGGATCCGGCGACGAAGACATCCTTGTCTCTCTCTCTCTTCTCTAAATCATCAATTTCTCATCATTCCAAAAAAAAAAAAACTGAAATCAACAAGCACCAATCTTAACTACACGTTGTGTTGTTGTGTATCTTTAATTTCTTTGCGTGGGCGTAAGAAGCTTGAATAACTTTTTGGAATTGCGGTAACCGAGACGACAAACAATAATTGTGTACCTGGAAATTTGGCCTCTGACATAAGAACCATCAATTGAATATGTAAGAAATTTGTTTCAGTGGTGCATAGAGGTGGGAAATCGATGGGTTCACTCTGGCTTTTGTCTTCTTTCGATACGAGATGCAAAAGGGATTTATCAGGTAAAGTGGAACGAGATCAGACAAAAGGTGGAGTTTAATATCAAAGAGCAGCCTTAAAAACGTTGTTTCCTTTTTGCCTTCCCACGCCTTTACGCATTGCACAAAAACTGTCTGTATATGTAAACGGAGAAATTTCTTTCAAAAGAGACGATTGGAATAATGAAAGAGATGTTTTACGCTTCAGGTCTTTCAACGTAAAATACACACTGCATTTCTTACACTGTTTTCAATACCAGGAAACAACCATTATGCAAAACTTTCTACGCAAAACCTATATACAAATATATAGTTTACATTATCTTGGAAACTTTATTCGCTTTCATCAATTTAGTATTTTTTATATGTTTAGAAATTGCGAATGAAATTTTATTAAAAATTAATATTTTGTGAGTATTCGGTTAACAAACAGTTCGGACTTTTTCGCGAGAGATTTTTATGTTCGGACAATAAACATATGTTCGAATAACAAACATCTTGCCGGTCAATTGACTCTAAGTCTAGTGGTGATATGAAACTCAAGCCGCTTGTAAATGAATAGTTATAATTATTTTGTAATTCTTTCGAAATATAAAATTCTATTCAAAATTATTTGTATCATGTTTGTAATTATAAGTTAAATTCGTATTATAGAAGTTATTTTTTAAACGATTGTATCTTTTTCTGCATTAACATAGTGCATACATAAACATGAAACAGAGTTCCTCAATTTAAAATGCAGATATTTGTAGTTGTAGTATTGCCAACACCGCGCGTTGAACGGAGTGACCTGGAGGTGATTACTCGTGACCTGACGTGTTGTATAGAGAAAATTGTAATTTGAAAATTCGTAGAATTCGAAATATTCAAAGTATCACCTGCAAATACCATCACTTTCATAATTGGTAAAAGATATGTTATTGCCAACTTAATTTCATCAATGTTTAAAGTTACAACTTTATTCTCATTTCATAAAACTGTTCAATATTTATCAGTTTTATATTAACATTTGAATTTTAAATAAATAAAATTATAAGTTTCGTTTCATTCCTTAAATTTTAAAATTAATATTCTCATTTGTTATATAATAAATCCATTGTAACTGTCAAAGTATCAAACATTTTTGACATAATTATAATGTCAATTTTGTTTATGACGTAAAATGTCTTATTTTTACCAGCTTATATAAATTTATTATATAGTTGAGACAATACAAATTATTTATGAAGATTTTTTTTAGAATCTTCCTTATTTATGACAAAGAGACAAGTTTAATATAATATTTTATTGAATTTGTAAATTTATTGTATTATAATAGATCAAATTGAAAGAAATCCAATTATCGAAGTTCAATAAACCGCATTAAAAATAGCTTTAAAACTGATTTAGGAAAAGTGGGCGTAGAACCACACTAACTATAAAAAAAAGGTTCGAAACCGCACCACAAGTGGGCAATATATATATAGTATTGGTATACTGCAATCAATCTTAATCTAAGTGGTTTCCGCCACACGTGTAGATTACCTATTAAAAAAAAAAGGTTGATCTTCAGTTCATACTCTCATAGTATTATTTTCAAGAGCTCGTTAAGATTAAGGATTCTTCAGTTCATATTTAGAAGATCCTTGTTATTTTTTTCTTTATTTTTAAAAGCTAGTTTCAAATTGACAGTAAATTTATACACGTAAGTTTTGCTGAAAAAAAAAAAGTTTTAGTATAGAATTTTTTTATGTTGGGATAAAACTAACCTAAAACTTCATAATAGTAACAACCATATGATGCAAACAGTATGACGTTATTAGAAATACTTGTTTTTTACGCAATCTACGTAATATTAAACTTTCTAATTTATTGTATTATAATATCACAATGTATTTCGATTGATTATTTTTTACACATACATTTTTAAATCAATTCTTACATTTTACTGCACAATGTGAAGCCACATTTTTATATAGAACATATTATAAAATCATAGAAGATATATTTTTTAACGTGGTTTTTGTATATTGCATAAATTAATTGTTATTTGCATCAAAGAAACTTGAATGAAAGAAAAATTAATTTTCAAAAGAGAAATTGCAAACGGTGTTAATATTGATGTGAGAGTGCGGTAAAAACGTTGAGATTCCATCATTATTGTATGGAAGCTGTGAAGGGCGAAGAACTACCTGGACCCTGGGAAGGGCCCGACGATCCCGAAAAAGAGGTTCTAATGATACGTTGTGGTAATAGCATTCGACTGGGGGCCTTCGGCAATCTTTTAATCATTTCGGCCCATGATCATAAACCTAAAGAAAAACGACGACCCGCATCTCGATCATCGACTATAAACATAGTTGCCATTAACAAATGATGAAAAGAAAGAGTGAAGTATCAACGACCTTCATTGATCATTAATATATAGAAACACGGAAATTATGATCTACGTAGTGAATAAATTGGTTTAATCTGTTGCTGTTTTTCTTCATGATTTTTAATGGCGAATAATTAAGACTTCGTCAAGATCACAATCATTATTATGTGCATTACATTACCACGCGCATAAATAAATATGAATCACATTAGAATTATTTTTTTTAATTTTTTTGCGGTTTTAATATCGCTGAGATTTATATTAAACAAGTTACCAAATGAATATTTTATATAATCATTATTTTGCTTCTAACTTTTGCTAACAATGTTACTAATTTAGTTGTTTTTGTCAATTCAACAAATTTAAGTTTGAACTCTGTTCTTGATTTTTGTTAAGAAACTGCGTAAATCATCGAATACAGAAGAGAAACTAATTGACAATCTCATTATATCAAGAATGTTTGCATAATTTTTAAACAAGATTCGTGTTTAATTTGAGAATTAACTGCATAATTATGTAATTAGATAATTACAAATTTTATTAGTACTTTGTTGATGAATCCGTTGCAAAAGTGTATAT